CATCAGGGGGGCAGGGAGGAGTGGGGGATGGGTGCAACAGATTCCTTGTGACCCTGAGACAAGAATCCAGGGCAGCTAGATGCCACATGGCTTCCCTCACTGGGAGTGGGTGGGTGGAGGTGGCCTCAGGGACATGGAGGGGACTTAGGTTCAAAGCAAGCCAGCACACTGGTTCAGGAGCAGGCCACCAGGGCTAGTCAAGCCTTGATGTAAGGTCACATCAGGGCACACCGGACCAAGGTTCAGATGCCTTCCAAGCCAAGACTGTGGCTTAGTCAGCACCTAGAGTCCGTCAGGACACAGAGTAAGGACCATTCAAGAGACATCAATGGCATCTGTTTTGGGGCAGGTCAGGAATTAGCCTGGGAACATGGGTAGAGTGGTCAAATAGCTGTGAGCAGGGCTCAGTATGCATAGGACCAGCCTTGGGACTCAGTCAATGTGGAGATAGGATAAGGATTAGGGTTAGTCTAAGATTGGTCATGGATCAATATATGTCTATGAGCATATAAACTGTAACAGGATTTAGTTATAATCCAGGTTCAAGGGTCCACGATTAGGTGACCCATGTTCAGAGGTCCAAGATTAGGTGACCCATGTTCAGAGGTCCAAGATTAGGTGACCCATGTTCAGAGGTCTAGGACTGGGTGACCCAGGTTCAGGGGTCTAGGGTTGGGAGACCCAGGTTAAAGGGTCTAGGTTTAAGGTGACCCAGGTTTAAGGGTCTCAGTTTGGTTGACCAGGTTCAAGGGTCTAGGCTTAGATGACCCAGTTTAGGTTCAAGGGTCTAGGCTTGGGTGACCCAAGTGTCTCAGTTTGAGTGATCCAGGTTCAAGGGTCTAGGATTGGGTGTGTCTGTGACAGGTCAGAGTTGGTTTAAGACTGCGATCTGAGTTACCCCAGGCCCAGAAGAACTCTGTCACCCAGCGTGGCTTTCATGAGCAGCATTCCCTCTCCCAATGACTCTGCCACTGAAGTCCTGATTCTTGCTCCTATGTTGGCCCAGGACTTTGAGGGGGGTGAAGCCCTGCCTTTTCCCTGCCTGTCTCAGCTGCCCCTCCCCCTCAGTGCCTACCAGGCAACATGAAAAGCTCTTTCTCCCTCCGGCCGGGAAAGTCTCTAGTCACAGCCTTCCCCACAAAAGCTGCAGTCTGGTGTGTGAGAAGCCAGGGTAGAGGTTTGGAGATCCAACGGGCCAACCACAGGGCCCCTGGGTGTCAGAAAGACTCCCCTGTGTCTCTGTGTTGTCACTGGCTCCATACAGGGTCTCTGTCACTCACATACATAGAAGCGACACCTCCCATGGGACACCACACCCTCTTCCACATCTGTGCGCAAACCCAGAGAATCCTCAGCCCTCTCCTGGACATCACCCCCCTCCCCCTCCCCCCAAGAAAATGTCTCCTTTGTGAACTCACCATCTACAACAGGGCCACGTGGTAGAATTAGCAACAAAACTCTTTTTAATGACAGTGTCAACCTGAGGAATCTTCGAACAGAAAGTTCGTGACCAGAGGTGGCCACTAGCAAGGAACTGGCCCGAGTTCTGGACCCAGAGAGAACTGACCTCCAAACAGGAGGGGAGACCCGGCCATCTACTCCCCGCTGAAAGAAAACTATAAATTAGCCTGGGAGGAGGGGAAGAAACACCATACAAAATACATTCAGAGCCCCCTGGCTGAGCCCTGGGGTGGTCCAAACCCTTCAGACGAGGGCATCGGAGAAGGGAATCAGGGACAGTCTCTGGCCCTTCTTTTTGCGTGGCCAGTGTCCAAGGGGCAGAATGTCTTGGTCATATTCCTCTTAAAAAAATATATCTCTTTGCGTGACCCTTCTCCGGGGTTCCTTGGCTCGGTGGGAACCAGTGTTCATTTGCCCCCCCCCCAAGGCTTCGGGGGTGGGGGGTGGGGGGGTGGAGGCTGCTCCAGACAGAAGAGCAAGGGGGCTGTGACTATGGCTTTTGTGTCTATGCAGTGGGAATGGTGAAAGTGTGGGCTGGAGGGGAAGCCACGGGGATCCGAGGTGGGGAGACGGGATCCTGGATGCATGCTTTGGAAAACATGATCAGTGACTCAAGTCAGAAATCCTTTGGTTTGGTGTCTCGGCATCGAGAGAGCAGTGGCGCAGTGGGAATGGACAGCCATTCATTACCCCGTTTCTAAGGAGTCCCCGCGGGGCGGGGGGGACGGGATGGACGGACTGGCCCTGTTGGGCTGTAAGCGAGGGAAGGGAGGCTGATGTCTTGTGCGTAGGGGGACTGTTTTGAGTGTGGCTCCCTCTGAGCTGGAGCAGTCTGTTCCCTCCCCTGGGTAGTAAAGGACTCCCTGGTTAAGGGTTCAGGAGGGCAGTGTAAGATAGACATGTTGGACCCCACCCTGAAAAGATGGGTCGTTGGGAGCTCTGTATGTGGTACATGACCAACCTTTGGGTTGATGTTTGGTACCTAAGGGATTTTGGAAGAAGGGTCAAAACCCCCAAAGTCACCCCGCCCTCCAAGACACAGCGTGGGCAGAAAGGACAGAGTTCCAGCCCTCGAAGTGGAACAGCACCCAGCTTGGATCTCATATGTGATTTAGCCTGGGGGACAGCTCCCACGGTGGTGCCGGGCCACCAGTTCCCCCACAACAGAAGCCAGAGATCTAAGGCCATGGAGACAGGTCCCAGACATCTGCCTGTCACATACAGATGGCCTGAGAGAGATCATAAAGCCAGTGCTCGCTCAGGGGAAGAGACAGGGGCCCACACAGTCAGCTGCAGGGTCACTGCTTATAACTTTTCATCAGCTGTCATCTCCAGAACCTCCCAACCACTGCCGTCTCCATGATAATCATCTCCTTCCCCCCCACCCCAACAGCAGGGACAGGGACTCCCCAAACAGGCAGCCAGGGGAAGGTGCCTGGATGTCTCCTCCCCAGGCCTCGGAGGGGGTCTCTCTGAAGGCAGGCAGAAGCCTGGGGTTGTCATCATGGCAGAGGGAAGCCAGCTCTTGGAGCCAAGTGGGGAGCTGGGACCCTCCCTGGCCACCCATCATCTTGGGCTGTAGGCATCGGGCACCCCGGTGAGGTTGCGACTGCGCAGGGCTGTGTCCACCATCCTGATGTAGGCAGCGATGGTCCTGCGCATCTCGGCGGTGTAAGGGTCGTACTCTAGCTTGCGGAGCCCCGAGCGCTTGAAGTTGCCATCCTTCTGGCTCTCCACGCACAGCAGCCGGTCTTCCCTGACCGCCACGCCCAGCAGGCTGACCATTCGGCCCAGCTGCGCAAAGAGGTCCTGCTTCAGATCCTCGAAGTGCACCACCAGTACCGTCTTGCCGAACTTGAGCCAGTCCAGCGTGTGTGTGGCCCACCACGGGGCATAGTTCCTGACGAACTCGGGCCACTCTGCGGAGAGAGCAGGGCATCAGGGACGCCACCAGATGGGCAGATGACACACCTTCCAGACCTCTGAACCCACTTGTGCTCTCTGGGGTAACACCCACTTGACTGGTGCCTGGTTCATTCCAGACACGGCCCTATACACAAATAGACTACCGCATATAAATATATATACTACCAAAATGTGGAGGTAAGGAAGTAATAAGAGATGCAGGGTTATACAGGAAGGGCTGGGGAGTAGGTGCTTGCTCTCCTAGGATGCTGGGAGCCCCAGGTTTGATCTTGGGAACCAGAATTCTTGGAAAGAAGCTGTCCATGCAGACACTGATTGATTAGCACTGCAGTACCATGGAGAGGTTGCGATGTTGCAGGTCCAGGTACCAATTACCTTACCCTGGGCTAGTTCTAGCCCTTTGGAACCACCATTTCTTGCCTGCCTGTGTCAGAACTAACACCCCCACCCCGACTAGTAGATAGAAATCCTTTGGAATCTGTTAGCAGATGGCTGGCTTCCACCAACCCCAAAGCTAAGGATGCCATCAGATAGCTTCTCGGGCCTACAGGAAAGCTTTCCCTCATCTTGCTGTACCCACCTCTCTGATGTACCAATCAACAGATTTTATACTTGTCTTGGTGTACGACTTTCTTTGTCCTGTAAAACCACAAATGTTCATGAAACGGCTTCCACGTTGGAACATGGAATTTGGGGTAACCTAAATCTGTGTTTCTGGGCCACAGTAACTCAAAATGCTCCAGAATAAACTACCTCATATTTCCTTTAAGATGAGAGATGTGTTTTTTTGTGTCAACAGATATGGTGACATGTGGGATTCCAAAAATGGTCCACTTTTCACCAGAGGAATCGCTTGAACGGAAGCCAGGACCCTGCACGGTCATCTGGTGTTATTTCCTCATGGGGACTGTTGGTGAGTTCTTTCCGGGGCTCCAACCCTCCCTTGGTTTTGTGGACTGTCTATTCTGAGCTGGCTAGCAGATCCTATTGTGATAGGAATCTCTCTTCGTCTGCTTTCAAAGTATCTGTTTTAAGGTTGTCAGTTTGAAAGCATTTTGTTCTAACATTTGGTTTGGTTTGCTTGCTTGCATTCTGAACTCTAAAGGCAGTTTAGGTTCTATTTAGCTTGTTTTCAGTATTTTGTTTGCTTCTGGGACTTTTGAAGGCATTTTGGTTTCTTATTTTGCCCGGGTTTTCCTGGTCTTTGAAATGTGTTGATTTATTAGCACTTGACCTTTGTTTCCTGACACTTGACCTTTGTTTCCTGACATTTGACCTTTGTTTCTGCCATGCCCCTCAGAGGCTTAAGTCTGCTTTTTTCCTGCTGTGTCTCCTGCGACCTTGTCAACCCTTTAGCTCAGGAACGTTAGGATCATCCGATGATAAAGACACTGAGGACGAGAGGTACTTGTTCGCCCCCACCCCACCCCACCCCAGAGTGTGGCGGTGTCACGGGGAATGCCCCACTCTGTGCAATGGCCACTCTGGGGTCAGGAGACACTTCACTGGCTCTTCGGGGAAGACGCTTACGAGGGTTCGTTCGCCCTGGGTCTTGAGCTCTCTCGTGTTTGTGTACACGTGTAAGATAACCAAAGACCCAGTAGGAGAAGATGGTTTCTGGGCAAAAGCCGAGAAAGTCGATGCCAAAAGCAGCGCACAAAACTGACCCAAACCACATATTCCCCAGCGAGCACAGACGCGGTGATTTTTCAGGAGAACAGAAAAAAGAAAGAGAAAAAATATATATAAACACGGCCACGAGGTTTCCAAAAAGGAGGAGGAACTGCCTGGAGGTAAGGGCCATCTGGCATTCTAGCAGGTTCTGGGAGTGATAATTGCTGACTAGCTTGGAAGTGTTTGGAAGAAACACACTAAAGATAACCCAAACAGTTACCGCCTCCAAAGTAGTGGGCCATAAAAGCAAAGTCCCAGGCAAGATAAAAAAAAAAAAAAAAAATCACAAATAGGCAACCGGCTTTCACTAAGATGTAAAATGATCTCCAAAAACTGATCAAATTGGTAATTCATAGTAAAGAGCTCTTAAAGCCACACAAGTTAAATTAGATGCTAAAATGAAAAATTAATAAAAAAAAACTTTTGGGGAGGTTTATGTCAAAGGCAAATGCTAAGATAGCCCCCCCCTGCCCCCATCCCCTGCCTCTCCTCTCTCTTTGGCTGCTTCTTTGTGTCCTCCTTTCTTACTATTTCTTTAAACAGCTTCTTTCCCTGTAATTCTAACATTAAAGTGTCTTAACCAGCCCTAAAATTCCTTTCAGCATTAAAGCCCCAAATCTCAGCTTGGCCTGAACTTAGGGGAACTCCTCAGGCTATTAAAGATAACCAAGTGAGTCTGTGTCCCCTCTCTAGCATCCTGGGGACTTATGCCGAGACACATTTTCAAGCATCTTGTGGAGTTTCCCTATCCGCTGTCCTGCCCTGCAGATCCTCCTAACATGGGATTCTGTATTCCTTTTATTTAACAAGAAACTCTCTAGATGTCTGAGTGCCAATGACACCAGCCATAGGCATTTTCCAGACCCATTCAGCTCTGCTTCTGGGTCCTATGTAGTAACACATGGCTCATCTGGGGAACGTCATCATAAAAACTGATCCCCCGAGTAACCAGTCTGGCAGAAATGAAGATATTCTCCAGAGTGTCTCAGCCAGACTATCAGACTGTTGAAGGAATGGACCCTCAGGACAGAGGGGTTCCCCCAGGAATCTCATGCTGGAAGAGGGAAGGGCACCAGCAGGAAGGAGACCCTGTCTCCCTGAAAGAGACTTCAAACAGTTGTAGCAACTTGTCTGCCACCTTAGAGGACAAGACTGAAGCCCAGATGATGATGAGTCCTGAGGACCGATCAGTCCTGCATATCCCTGGTCTTTATACCTTGATCTCACTTCAGGTCCCTAAAGACAAACTTGAGGGGTTTGCTGTACCTCATCGTCCCCCTGCCCAGCGTGACCACATTGACTAAATCTCCTTGTTGTGCATTCTGCTTTTCAATGGGCTCTTTTGACGGTCCTAAATCTTTCTCTGGGACAACAAAAACATGAGTTTTCAGATTAAGAAAAATTTAAATCTGCTTTTAAGTACAAGATACAATTCTGATGAAGATGTCATCTCCTTATCCTGTTCTGGTTTACAGCACAGTCCCTATCACTTGAGGGAATAAAGTAACTATGCTATGATTGCTTCTGCTTTAGCATATGTTTTTCCTAGTGACAACGGCCACCCCTGACACACAGAACTCTATCCCACGGATTAACAGGCCAGCTCACATCTGTCCTTTAGCTAGGTCTTGTTTATATGGGAGTGTTTATATGCATACCAACATTTCAAGGATATGTTTGAGCACCAGTTCCCCTTTAAAAACAAATGAATGGACAAGTAGGGTTTCAAGAGCCGGGTCTCGGCACGGCCAATGTAAGAGAAAACCCTAAGTGTCTACTTTTTTGAACTGTCTTTTTAAGAACTTACTGTTAGGTTTGCATAGACATCTCAGAGCTTACTGATCATCTTAACGTGTTACACCATAGTTAAGAATTCAACAGAATTATTCAACTCTGTTTCTAATTAAAAAGAATAATAAAGTCATGAATGTGAAAGTTTAGCCCCATCCCACGCTTTATGCCTCATACTTTTGGTGTCTGGTAAAGACTAACAAAAGGAAATGCTTTTTCCAACAATGACAACGAAAACCACACATGCATAAAAGCAAAACTCTTCAAGGTATCAGATCTCGTGGCTTAACTCTTTAGCAAATACTTAATTTAAATTTGGTTAAGTAAACAAAAACCATTAATGTACTTTACCTGTATTTATAATGTTTGGATATCTAAGATACCATATTTTCTGTTCTATACTATACCCTCCTGAACTTTCTTTTAAAATTACCTCAAACAAACAAAAAATATTTTCTAAATTTTGTAATAACAATAAAAATAAGATGTATGTTGCAAAAGGATTGTTTAAAATGGATATGGTTATAATGAGGTTAAAAATAATGCTGAAGTTATAAAACTTAAGGTCAATTCAGTACTGTGAGATAAAATTAATGATTAATTCTCTACCATACTTTCTTAAGTACTGATTTGTTCTTAGTAATGTTTAAAAAAAATCGCTTGAAACAGCAATAAAATTCTTTGTTTATTTTTTGACTTAAATGTTCATTTAAAACTTGTGACTAAATATGTTTTCCCATTGAACAAAGCTTTTGTTTTTTGAATAGTTAGTCATTGCTTTAATCATTAAAAAAAAATCTGTTTAGAGACATGCCTCTTTAGAATATTCCTACTAAATTCAATAATGATTGTAAAATTTTTTTTTTTTTTTGGTTTTTCGAGACAGGGTTTCTCTGCGTAGCTTTGCGCCTTTCCTGGAGCTCACTTGGTAGCCCAGGCTGGCCTCGAACTCACAGAGATCCGCCTGGCTCTGCCTCCTGAGTGCTGGGATTAAAGGCGTGCGCCACCACCGCCCGGCGATTGTAAAATTTTTAAAAGGACAAATATTTAAATCTGTTGATATAGGACTGGAGAGATGGCTCAGAGGTTAAGAGCACTGGCTGTTCTTCCAGAGGTCCTGAGTTCAATTCCCAGCAACCACATGGTGGCTCACAGCCATCTGTAATTAGATCTGGTGCCCTCTTCTGGCCTGCAGTCATACATGCTGTATACATAATAAATAAATAAATCTTTAAAAAAATAAATCTGTTGATATAATTTGGCCCGTTAATTAGTGAGTAACACATAGTGTTATAAATAGCTTTTAAGTAGGATAACTAAATTCGAAGCTAGTCACAGGGTACTCAAAAGGGTAAAGACAACCAGATGCTTCCATCAACTGAAAGGAGAGAAGACAGCATGGCCAAGACTCCATTCTGATGAAAAGAGCAGGCTATGTCCAGGTACTTCCAACTCCCTCCTAGACACTATACTCTGCAAATTATATAAAATTTATATAGAAGAGATTTTTTTTTTTTTGAGACATGGT